TCCATGGCAATGACGTCCGTTTCTGTGGGTAGACAACTTGTGGGAAATAATGTGACAGGCGTACGCCGTGTCCCCGGGTGAAGGATGCCCCGGAGGACCAATGAGACGCATCATTTACACAACTCGGTGTTAGATAAGGCAGAAGAGGGTGAGGAGTGGCTCTGCAACTATTGCACAGAGTATCTGAGGAACCCCTCAACCTGTGTGTGTATTCAGATAACATGACATATAGAGGACAATGACTTCATATAGGCACAAGCAATCATTTATTTATTTTAAAAAAACATTTGGCAGCACTGCAACTTTTCACTTTAACAGTGTATTACTCGCTACACATTTGAAAACATTTCAAGTAGTCACACGTGTATTTACTGGGGATTGATGCTGTGTTTTAGACGAGAGAGGCTCTTTTCTCTGTTTCATCGAATCCTCTTCAAACCACAGGTTGTTGTGCAACTCCGTTGGGCAACAACACTTACAATCAGCTCTGACGAAGACGGTAAAAGTCAGGTAGATGATTAGGCAATGTTTATTAAATCAAATCATATCCTGCTGGTCCAACGCACATAGCAGGACTCTTTTTCCCCCCCGTTGTTTAAAAGGGTCCACGAGTTATACCCATATGTGAACAGGAACCACCATTTCCAATCTGCAGATAAACTAATGACCAGGTTGTGTCCTTCAGCGCACTGTTTTACCTTTTATTATATCTACGCCTGCATTTTAGTTTAAACTCAAGTCCTCCATCACATGACTAAAATTTGCTATTGACTCTGTCTCTTTTTTTTTCTTTTTTTGCTGTGTGCCTCAAGTTCCTGCATTAGAAAATAAATAGCCTCTACATTCAGACCAAAGAGTAACAGTACCTAAAAACGCTGCTGTGCGGCATCATAGCTACTGAGGCTATTTATTAGCCAAACTTTTATTATTCCAATTGATTTCATTTTATCTACTGATCTAATTTCCAACAAAACGTGCTGTTTTCCTACATTAAACTACACTCACTGACTTTGATTGTCCAATCACAGGAGGTGTATCAATAGCCAGTGTATCTACATGTTCTATATTCAATAAAAATGGAGGATGGTATAATATTATTGTTGTTATTATTATCATTATTATTATTATTATCATTATTATTATTATTAGCCTTTACAACCCCATAAACTCTTATTTTAAAGCAAAGGTTTGGTAAGGTTTAGCTAACTAACGCTTAGCTTAGCTACCAAAAGTACGACAGGATGCACTTTAACAGTAGCATCAGGTTAGCATTAGTTACATACAGATCATAAAGCCCACCTCCTGCAGCGGTCATTATAATTCACTTCAGTTCATTTTATTTATATATCACAACACGAGTTGTCTGAAGGCGTTAGTCTACTTCAGCAGATAATCTTGGGTGCTTGTCATGAGAAGCTACATTTAGTGCAGTGCTCCTTTTGTGTGACCCTGAATGTGTCAGAGTGTATCAAAGCTCTCAGCAGATTGGAAGTGTTCATTTTGCCATTTTGAATCTTTTACGCTCAACATGTGAGGTGCAGAAATGTAAAGTTTGGGGGTAAGAGAACAATTAAAAATGTGCACATCAGTGTACTAAATAGTAGCTACAACACTGCCAGTAAGCTATGGTTTCCTTTACAATATAAAACTACAGTTAACCACTTTTATACCCAGCATTACCTCCTCTAGGTGACTTTGTCATGATCACAAATGTTTGTTGGTGAAAATGCTCGAGCAGGTGCTTCACTGTGACTCTCGCAGGCCTTACTGAGGCACACTGTGAAGCCTGTAATCAGGCGTTAACATCGGGTACAAACGAGGCTTCGGGCTGTGCTCAGATGCTGGACTGCCCGGCTGCTCCCTCCTCGGCGGCCTGCAGGTGCCGCTGTGACAGGATGTGTTTCAGAGTGTCCAGCTCCTGTGTCAGCTGTGCTATCCTCATCTGCAGCTTCTGGTTTTCCTCCTGCAGCTGGCCGGCCCTCTGCTGGGTCATCAGGATCCTCCTGCGGGCTTTGTCCCTGCTCTTCCTCACCGCGATGTTGTTTCTCTCACGCCTCAGGCGGTACTCTGCGCTATCCTTGCTGATGCTCCTCTTGGTCACCGGGGCCCGCAGAGTGGGCAGGAGGAAGGGGGAGAAGTCCTGGAGTGAGCAGCACACATGCGTTAAAGCCGTGGGAGAGTGGGGTGGGTGAGTGTGGTTTGTATGAAACACTTCGTGACCTGCTGTTAAATGCTTCTCTCACCTGCTGAGTACTGGCGTGGCTCTGGTGGTGGTTTGTGCTCACCGGGCTGGCGGCGCTGCCAAGGCAGGACGGCGGGTACGGCAGGTACGATAGTCCCATCATCTGCTCGGCCCCTCTGTCATCGCCACCCCCCCTTATCATCCCCTGAGACTGGCCATACGAGATCATGTCCATCTGCGTCATCTGATTGGTGGAAGCAGCCGAGTTGGAAGCAACAGAATTCAGGGTCTGGCTGTGCACCTGACCTGGGAAGGAGCTCACCCACTCCTGGATGACGGAGGACACCCTGGAATCAGACATCTGTAGAAGAAGACAGACAACACTCATTTAATACTTTAATACTAAAAAATACATATACTGCTTGAATGTTGCTGTCAATTACTCTACAATATATAAAACAAACTTTCAGCAACACAAAACACTCACTTGCTTAATTACGCGGTCACACATTCTGTCCTGATGCTACACGTTGAACAGGCTCGTTCGTTCAACCTTACACTGCCTGCTTGGTTTTTTTGAGTGATGTAAGACGGATAAAGAAGTTATTTAGGTGTGGCATCTTCAGAAAGAAGATTTCAGTGTTTCTTCCACCGCTGATGGTAAATGGGGATGTTTCTGCCACAGAACACACATTCTTCTATTTTAAAGGTTACTACACTCAGATACACCCTAACACAAAATCAAACAGCATCATAATAAATTAAACTACGAATAAATCGTGGAAACACTCTGACAGCACTGCTGTGAGCCTTAGTTTGTGAGCTGCTATTGCCATCTTCTCTTTACCCCCCTCTTCTCTTTTAAACGTACAGTCTTTGCATCATAGACTACAAACTATATTGAAAGAGTAAATTATTTCATGCCACTGTCGAGCTCTTCTTCCTCATGATTTCAAAGAAACGTCGAATCTCTTGTGCGCTTCGTCTTCCCTGTCGCTTCGGTAAGGTTGCATTTCTCACCGATTTGCTCAAATTTCTCCACAAATTCACAAAGTTACAGTTTCACTTACCATGACCGATTGCTCCACAAACTCTCAGGATACTGTTTAGGTCCTCCTCAGGCTGTGTGGCTGACAGTGCTCTGAAAGACAGGAGATAGACAGGTGGCCCTCAATTATCACAATCACTTCCCCTCTCTCTCTCTCTCCCTGCCTCTCTCTCTCTCTCTCCCCCTCTGTCACACACACACACACACACACTTAAATTAACAAAAAGAAACAAAGAAGTGTTCCCATTTCTTTTACATTTACACCATCTCCTCTGCACAGATACTTAAGTGATCCCATAAGGTTAAATTATTGTGTTACAGCAGCTGGATAAAGTATAAAATACTAGTGCAAAGATTTCACACATATATACACATACATAGTACATAGTAGTATGACTGTAATTGTGCAAGAGAGTAGTGCAAATTGGATTAAGAAATAATGTAAACACTCTAAATGTAAAAAAAACAGCTGAATGAAGCTGTAATGCAGAAGTTTGTGTGTGAAGTTTGTGCCCGATAGGGGAGTTCATCCGTCACAGAAACAAGAGTTATTGCAGAGTTTTATGGAGAACAGCAGGAATAATTTCCTGAAGCCTTCTTCACAGCAATAGACAAACTTCTCTGAAGTAACTTCATCAAAACCATCAACATTTAAGGCTTTGAGGCTGGTGTTGTTTAACTCCTTCTTATAAGCCTGTTTTTGTTTTAAAGTGCTTTATAAATAAAGGTGATGATGATGATGATGAAGCCTTGATCCAGTTGCAGATCATATCTGATGGGTTTCCATCAGGAATTCTAGGTCACCATAACACGGACACAGCACACTGGACCTCAGCACAATGTCAAACCACTGGTCACAACACAATGAGAGCACAGAGAGTGGAACGTCACTGGGATTAAAGAAAATGTGTGGCACTTGTTTGAATAGATTCTAAATTGTTTATAAAGACGATGAGTCTTCTTCACACCTTAAAGTTACTCATGGTGGTTCTCGGGGTCCTGTGCTGGGCCCGGTGCTTTTCATGGTATACATACAACCCTTAGGCACTCCAATACTGCATACAGATGACACCCAGTTATATTTATCTCCACGGCCGGAGAGAAACCCAAATCACTAGCATCCAGTTAAAACCATGAAATCCTGGATGACTGCTGGATTGCTTTTATTCCATATTATGTTGTTCTAATGGCTCTCTGAAAAGCCTTCAGCGGATCCAAAATGCCACAGGGATAGTATTAACTGGGACTAGAGCGATAGATCCTACTGGTCCCCTAGCTTTATTCAGTTCTGTGAAAATCCTCACATATATGCTTGTAAATAACCAATCTCCATCATATCAGGATTACCTAATCATATCCTATTTTCAGTCAGAGCATTTTATTTGCACTTAGCGGGCTTCCTTGTGATGCCATTTTGGACACTTTCTCCACTTTTAAGATTAGATTAAATTTTCTGATTGTGATCAAACTTGTGATTGGGCTGAATCAGAGAACCCTGAACTATTGCTTGGTTATGCTTCCCCCAAGGATGCTCTGCAGACTCACAGGGCACAGCAAATCTAACAAGTTCAAATTTCAGCAGCTGTTTATGCACAGACACCAAACTTTGCACCTTTACCTGATCTCCCCAAAACAAATACTATCAGTGTGTGCTTTAAAAATGATTGCATCAATTTGCCACTGCTGACGGGCCCTGTTGAACACCCAGGCCCATTCAGTATGTAAAACACTACACGATGGATAGATGCAATATGGAAGTGATTTAAGCTACTGGTGTCCCATTCTTTTGCCTCACTCAGTAGTAACATCTGTAACTGTTTTAGAGCTATCCCAAACTCAGTAGCACTACTGTCCCGCTGCGGCTTCCGTAGGGTACAGTGGCGTTAAAATGGCTGCTCCTGTTGACAACGTGAGTGAAATTGAGTTAGCTCCTTGTTATATATTAAGCCGTAATATCGTGTTTACATGCAGAACATTACTCCGCTTTAGTATGTACAAGTATACGAAAACGCTTCTCGGTGCTTTAAAGAGGACCACAGCGGTTTGTTAGCTAGTGGCTAACCTGACGAGCTAGCCACTAGCTAACAAACCTTTATGTCGAATAGCTGGTATTTCAGTACGGACACTGTTTACAAATTCGGATATTGTATCTCTTACATGTAATTTAACTGCTTTATAGGATTTGATTGAAAGCGATTTGCCCAAAGCTGTAGAGCTGCTGAATAATCTCACTGAACAGGTAAGAACTTAAAAACAAAAAGAATAATCCCGTAGTGTTTAGTTTAACTCAGAAATAATGTGTGTTTGTGGCCGTAATAAAGAGATAAATCTAAGTTTTGTTTTTAGGTGGCCTCGGTGACGGGTCTTGTCCGTGAGCTGCTGACTAAAGTCAAAGATGGGGCATTGGAAACGTCGAAGGTGCGTAACGACTATTTGAAATGCTAGTTCTCCTCAGGTCCAGTCTTTACGGTAATCTGACCAAAGTGCAGTTTGGTTTGAAAGGAGCAGGCAAGACTGATGCATCCTCTTTAATGAGGCTGTGTTAAATAAAAGTATTGACACACTTGCTGCAGGATTTCTCATTTCTCTAGATCAGGGAAAGAAGTGCAGTCTGTAGGCCTTTCTGACCATCTGTCCGCCTTCTCCTCCTGCAGGGTTTGTCTTTTTTGGACCTTCGGTACCACCTGCTGCTCTTCTATCTCCAGGACCTCACTCACCTGATCAGCATCAAGACGGAAGGAGGCAAAATAAAAGACAGTGATGCTTTAGACCGAGTGGTCACAATCAGAACGGTAAGAGGCTGTAAAAGTGATGCTGTTTGTTTTCTCTGCAGTCAACATGTGTTGTTTTAATCTTGATTTGTTGTTGTTGTTTATTTGAAGATCCTGGAGAAGATGCGACCTCTAGACCACAAACTGAAGTATCAGATTGATAAACTGGTGCGCACGGCTGTTACCGGCAGTTTAGGTAAGACCGAAGTGATCAGATTTTCAGAACTGTGCAGTCTAGGAAAGCTTTGACTGAAAGGATGCGTATCAGATTCGATGCACAGCAAGATTTGCATTTATCCACTTATGGTAGGCGTAACCGTGTCTGATGCTTTTGTTGATTTCAGCTGAAAATGACCCACTGCAGCTGCGTCCCAATCCAGAGAATCTCGTCAGCAAAGTAAGACCAGAGTAACACGACGGCTCCGGTTCCTTCTTTTACTGTCACATTATCAAACTGTAAACACATGCATCCAAACATCAGCTTCCTGTATTAGTAGGAAAGATAAATGCTTGTTTGTTTTTTTGCAGCTCAGTGAATCTGAGTCTGAAGACGAAACAGAGAACAAGGCAGCTTCAGATAAGAAAGCAGCCCACTCTAGTGGCAAGAAATATATACCACCAAAGATTGCCCCAGTGCATTATGGTAATGTCACCGGTCTGCTTGATAAAGTACTTCAATACTGCTTTGGGTTTTTTGTTAGGTTTTTTTGTTGTTGTTGTTGTTGTT